TACACTGAGTAAGTTACATTGCAATTAAGAAATGATGATGTGAGAACATGTTTCCTAATGGGTCTGTCGCTGGTCTGATCAATCGCCTCCATCATAAGAGAGCTAACTAACATTTACTTGAAGCAATACATGCATCTCTCTGGAAAGCATTGGACTGTTACCCTCCAAGCGAAAGGCTGAATGAAACAGATACACTGGATTCATCAGGAGGTTTTTTCTAGGGGAATATGAGTGCATATCGTAGAAGTAGAATTTAAAACGGGGCAATCCGTGCAGCCTGCAGACATCGAAGGAAGAAACGCGCTTCATGATGAAGACATACGACAGCATAAATCACTGTCTAGTTCTTGAACAGGCTTGCGGAGAAAAGGAGGGAGACGATCTTTGGGAAACAGGTGATGCGGGTGGGCAGAAAACTGCTCAACCGCTTCCGCTCGATTTAAGTTAATGTTCTCTGTTGGTGACAGGAAGTGTTCAGTGGTCCTCCCTGGGAAAAGTGTCACGTAAGTGACATTCATAGTTTTGCTTCGGTTAACTACGGGTGATCTTCTGTGAGTAATGAAAAAAATGAGGTAATGCACTTCCCCTGTACGATGCCTTTAAATATAGGATGACAAAAATTTGCACAGGTTCTTCTAGCGGATACGTGACCCGCATAGTCCAAGCATTCGTCCAATTGATCTAAAAGAGGTATTTATCGGCTTCTAACTAAACAAATTCCACGCTCCTGTTACCGTTTGCTCCGTCGGCAAAGTCCGGATATTTGACTTGGACTGCAGCAACAACTTTGCAACGGTGATGGACAACAGGACGAATTCTGAAAAAAGCTTCTCTGTGCTCGTAGCGTGTGCATGAAAATACAATAAACAGAACGTACCTGGCTATTACAGCACTGTTGTTGCTGCGGTTGGCAACACGACTGAACTATTTGGTTGCAGCATAGCGACTGCATTGGCTGGCAGCATGAAGGAGACTGAAAAGAAGGGCTCATACAAAAGCATTCCATTCGTCACTATCGGCACTTGTACACCGCATTTTTTTATATTGAATCAACAAAAATCCCTAGTGTTCTTGTGACAAGACTAATCGATTTTGGAGGAAAAAATCATCAGTGAAGATGCGGAAAGAGAACAAGCATGTTTATCTACTTATTGAATGTGTGGATTCTCTGAATAGAAAATTCTGTGTGTAATAAATAATCCTACCACACACAACGCGCTAAGTGTGTCTGTTGACTTGATGATGTGTGTGCTTATGTATGCGTGTATGTATGCGTGTGTGGTTGTGTATACAGGGTGGACTCCACCATCAAAAGATTCAAGAAGCACGGCCACCGAGACATTGTCTTCTCCGATGAGAAACTGTTTACGTTGGAGTCGACCTTCAACCCTCAAAACGATCGGGTGCTCCGCTCGACAGCTGAAGAAGCCAACGAGAGTGGAAGCGACGCTCTGGACAGAAAAAATCATGGTTCGGGCAGCGATCACCTACAAAGGGAAGTCCTCGCTCGTTTTCATCGACAACGATGTTAAAATCGATACGGAAGTCTACTTGGAGAGCGTGCTGAAAAACACCTTGCTTCCATGGACAAAGTGTCACTTCGGCTCTAGACCGTTCGTGTTCCAACAAGATTCAGCACCGGCTCATAGAGCGAAAGTGACACAGCAGTGGTGCCGAGATACCCTCCCAGGATTTATCAGTGCATAGGAATGGCCATCTAATAGCCCTGATTTGAATCCAATGGATTATTCCGTATGGTCGCTACTGGAGAGCAAGGCCTGCTCTATGCAACATCACTCAATAGATTCGCTGAAGAGGGACCCGCTCAGAACATGGGAAGAAATACCTTTGGAGTACCTTCGCGCCACAGTGGACGACTTCCCCTTACGTCTGAGGGCCTGTGTCCGAGCCCGTGGAGGGATTTCCGAGATTTGAATTGACTGTGTGATGGCTTGACATAAATAAAGTGTTGTAAAAAAATTAGTCCTCAATCTATCGTTGAACCGAATTTACAGCGGTGAAGATTTGAGCAAGTAATTTTGGCGCACCCTGTATATGTGTATGTATGTGTATGTGTATGTGCATGTGTATGGGGTGTGTGGTGTGTGTAATTCACTGGAAATTGATAACTCCTGATACTATGTTTAACTACCTGTTTGAAGGCACACTTCCCGGTAATAATGGTTTCCAGTGCTCCCCCTAATGTAGACGCTGTCGAGTCCCAAAACACAATAGCTAGGGCCTAGTGGGAGCCCCGTCCCGGATCGTGCGGATTTCCCGCCTCTCGATCGATGCCACGTCAGACGAGTGTGGAGGCGATACAGGTTGCAAATTTCGTCCTAGGACGCAAGCACAATCAGCTGATCGCCGTCGTAGGCTGGAAGCTTCGCAACTCGGTGGATGATGCGAGATGTGGCGAGATCTTTGACAATTTCTCCTGTCACCCTTCCCTAGCCTGTGTACTTTACCGACAACCGCTATGCATCCACATAAGATTTTTCCTTTCAGTGTTCCCTTTAACAAGCATGAGCAACATTCACACCCTTGCGTTACTTTCAGCTATGATCGGTCATCTCATCAGAAAGACGTTCAATTGTCAAGACTGCTCCATCTCATCTCATCAGAAAGACGTTCAATTGTCAAGACTCGGGCTTTGAAGTTCTATTATAAATTATACTATAAATCCATTCCGTAAGTAACAAAAAAACATAAGATGTTCGGCACCGAGCTTCCTTGTAATGGAAGAAACAGGACGTTGTTATGCTATTTAGAATACACACAGGAAGGGCAGTTGTTGATTCAGGGGGGCTCTCACTCTTCAACCATCAGATACTCGTGGGAGTGAATTGAAATCATATGTTCCTAGAACTATGTTCAAAATTAGAGCCAATTCCGTTGCCAATCGGGAATCTTCCGAATTTCGCAACTTAGTCAAGAAAATTCAATAAATAGATTACGCTAACTCTTTAAGTTCCGAGTATCGGCATGTATCGAATGCTACTGCTTTCTACTCTTTCTACTGCTTTTTGTTCTTGTGGCAACCTGCCAACCATGTTATTGTGCCGAAGATTCTACCGTTAATGCGACGGGTGTAGAGGTGTGCCTCTCATCACCTCTTATAGGTGTTAGTCACCAAGATAGTAAATTTTCATCAAGCCGTCACTTAGATGGTAGAAATTGAACCCTCCAGATTCAACGCAATGAGACATGAATTCTTGTTCACACGCTCGCATGGCTTGCGACTGAAGCTACAAAGATGATGACCCGGCTTGTAGACCGTTTGACTATGAAACAGAGGTGCGTTCTGATTCATCGTCATTCCCGTATCAGGAACAGCGCAGCTACGAACGCTGTTCGAGGAATGCTCGACGAAGCGGGCTCATCTAGCACAGCTTTGCGAAGGGAGGGGTAAATAATAACATAATCCTAAGGAAATTTTGATGGATTCATAACCTTTTCGACCGTCCGGATCATTCAACCTAGTGTAGGACCTTGAGACACTTTACCTGGCATGGAGGTGACATTTCAAGAAGAATCCTTCAGCACTCATCTATTTGTTCCTTCTGCTCAGGCACTTATTTTCAAATAGTCCTTTACCATCTTGCGTTGCAGTCGACCGATCTATCCTTCGCCGTTTGTTCTCTACTCAAATTTAGAGTTTCCGAGTCCAGCTCTCGATGATTCCACACCACGCGCTGAATATGTTTACGAAGCCGTCATACTTTAATGAATCGCACGATGAATCCCTGGATATCATCATGTTACTCATTGGAGAGAATGGAGTACTTCTTCGGTCTTCAACTTCATTTTCGGTGTTCATTCTGTGACGAAATATATATTGTGAGACGGGAAGGATGCTCGGCGTACGTGTCAAAGAACATCTTGCAGGAAAAAAGCGTGGAAAGTAAAATTACTTGGGAGGCACCGACTACGAGGACATCAAGGCAATGATTTCGACATTGAATGTAAAATCCTAGCCTACGAGAATGAGATCGATGCCCGAAAGGTACTGGATGCGTTACATGTTCGCACGAAAAATCCAAGGCTGAACCAGCGAATTGAGTGCCTAGCCATAACAAGTGAACTCTCGCCGTTCATTCCGGTTTGTGACCTTTGAGAACACTTGCATAATTATTATTTTATGGCCATCAATGGTGTTTCATTGATCCCTTGTTGTTCACATAGAGTGGGACGTAACGCTAGTGGAACCGCAGAAGGTTGATCTTTTCACCGGGAACATTTCCATTTTTAATTTTCAGGAGTCGTTGCAACTATCCTAACGCGTTTGGGCGCTTGGCGGGTAGTTCACAGATGAGGAGCTTCGAGCTATTTACAGTCATGAAGACGACGATTCAGTCAAAACGTTGACCAATAAAGCGGTTCAGCCATAAACAACCTGTACGGTGAAGCAGTATTAAACATATTGAATAGCTGACTATTCGTCCTACTCCACTCTCTCCAATAGAAGCTTTTGACAGACGTAATCGATTGAGGTTCGAGTAACATGTTCTATTTTTCATTAGGCTGTTCTGTTCTCTCGAGAAGAGAAGCAAGCCACAGTGGGAACACACCTCAACAACCCCTTCTCACTCTGACAAACGGTTCTCTTACCTTTTATTGACGAGCAAAACATCAAGTTTTCGAAGACGGTCATTCCAAAAGACTTTTTTTAACGCAATAATCCATTCGCAACAAGTGGACCAGTATGTTGCATTCTGAGCGTAACCCATCCCATCGACTCGTTTTTACCGGCTCGCTAAGTGATCTCGTGCCACGTTGGAGTGCGGCTCAAACGCAGTGTAGCTGTATTTATCTTGCAAGGCAAAAAATGCAGCTGTTACGAGCGATTTCAGTGGAAATTGTAATGTATTTTGTAATTTGACTGTCTGAAATTGTCTAATTTGGACTAAAGTTTCAACCCTCCCCCCCGATGTTTTTTAGTTACTCGTGGACATGCACGTCACAATGATAAAACTCAAAACTTCAGATAAAACAAATACTCACTCGGAACGCGCAACAGTTGCCGCTGCCACATCCGAGCGAGGAGGCGGCCTGACATGCGGAGAGACAAGTTGCTGAGCAAGTTCCTGAAAGGCGAATATGTATACAGTCAGGTGCAGAGAGTTTTCAAACCATGAAAAAGCCAAACCGCATCCTCCATCTGTTCTCTGGTATTGCTGAGGACGGGATCCTCCACAAGGATCTAGATTTATGGGCATGCACAGTTGGCCTTGCGGACTGATCAATTGTCCACCACAACATCCCTAAAATTCCAAAAATACGTGTCTAGCAACATAATAGAAAGAGCTTGAAAGCCTCCGATTTCAATGAGCCAGAGAAAAGTACCGTACCTGCGGACGCTGTGGCACTGGATAGGACGGCGCCGAGACTGGGTACGGATTGGGAGATTGTGGTATTGGATAAACTGGGAAAGGTTGTGCTGGTGGAGGTACCGGCTGTGGAAAGACGGGCAAAGGTGCTGGGGCAGGTGGAAGCACTGGTTGCTGTGGAACCGGTCGTGGTTGGTACGGTCGTGGTGCATACGGTCGGACCACCTCGTATGCGGCCGGATTGACCTATTCGAAGAAAGTTGCTCATAAGTGTACCGAAAACAAATGAAAAAGTAAATGTATGCAGTCTCTATTATTGACACAACCGACCTGTATTTTTGGTTGGGTGTTGTATGCTACTTTTGGTTGGCTGTGGTATGCTGTTTTTGGTTGACTGTTATATGCTGGCTTTGCGACTTCCTCGACTTCCTCATTCACTTGCGGAATATTTCTAAAATAATAAAAAATACAAGATCAATAATCCAGGCTGGTTGATTCGTTCCGCTTTATTTATTTATGTATTTATTTATTTATATACACAGAGTGCACTACAAAAGATAATTAGGAGTAGGTCAGGGGTAGGATCAAAGCTAGTCCGAAACAAACTGAATTAAGGCAAAGCCAGACAAGCTATATCATATAATGTTGAATATTTCAAAAAAAAATCCTCAAAGTTTTAAAATGGAACGCTGAAAGTGGGCTGGTCAGCTCCTCAATCGCAAACAAAGCAACAAGCGATGCTCGGCAACACAGAGTTATCAGTAAAGCAACAAGTGGACGCGAATCTTCGTCTTCTTTCTTAGGTCTTTGTTTCGTGGGTTCAAGAATACCAAGAATCTTAAGATGCCTTGAACAATAGGTAGTGGTTCTGAGCAAAACCTTTTTTCTTTCGTTTGAGCCCGCGAACCGATTCACGTAAGAGGACGGAGAGATTTTTGAGAGGTTCGTAAGCGCAGTGCTACACAGAAGGTAGCAGCAGTGGACTTCTTCAAAGACTCTGTCTGCACTCCGTCGACGGGATCAGCGGTAGAATCATTGCTAGGAGGATAGAAACGAAATAGGGGTACTGGATTAAATATCTGTGTACACACCATAAGACGGCTGTCCAGAGTGCGAAAACGATGGTTCTACTCTAGCCTTGACGAGATCAGTTTCGGATGGGGCTATCTCTTCACAGTAGATGATCTGAACGGGCACGATAGCAGTGAACGGAGGGACTTTGAACGAGTCCGCTGGAGTGGAGAAGTAGAAGTCAGAACTGAGAAGGAGAAGAGGGGGTGCGACTTGAGCACAGTCTGCCGCACGTTCCTCACAAAAAGGAAGACTCGGAAGATAAGGCACGGTAGAGTAGACAAACAAAGGGAAATAGACTACACTCGTCCTTCAAAACTAAAGGAGATTAAAGTACTACCTGACGAAGATCTGGGTCCACAGCACAGAACTCTCCTAGCAGATATAACTACTGAGCTTCCCAAGAAATCAATAAGTGAGCCGCACTGAGCCATAGAAAATGAAACCAAACAGAAGTTACTGCAGTCTGGTCTCCAGAAATGAAGAACCGATCCAGCAGACCTGGACCAATGCCTCAAAGTTATATTACAGTTTACGAGAAAAACCCTGAGCAAGACTCCATACGGATTCCTAGTAGTCAAGGAAACGTGGCTTCTGAAGATGAGTCCAGCCAGCTGCGAGGTATAATAGAGCCGCCTGCAAGCGGTGGCAAAGGGAGCCAGTCCCAGAAGATTGAGCTGCCTACGGTAGTTGCAAGAGGCTCACCACGACCGCCGTATACACATTAAGGATATGGACGATTTGCGTGAGAAGCTCAGTGGTCGGAAGAAGAGTAATTCCTCTTTCGACTAGCCGAATGCGGCAATGGGCTACTTAAAGCACAACTCGCGATGAAAATATTTTTGATTTCTCCCCCTAGGAATACACAGTGGCCCGCAGAAGTAACAGGAAGGACGCTGACGAGTCCCTAAACTCAACAGCTAGCCCATAGTGGGAGCTCCGTTACCAGGCCGCCCGGACTTCCCGCCCCTCGATCGATTTTACGTCGGACGAGTGTCGAGGCGATACAGATTGCAATATTCGTTCTGAGACCCACGCACAATCAGCTGATCGCCGAGTGATGAGGTGATGTTCTTCTCTCATTCTTTTACTCCCTGCTATTCTTTATGCTGCTGTGACCCTTATTTTAATTTTCTAACCCGAGGGGCTGAGAAAGGTGGGCAATTTTTGCTGTTATTACGGTTTTTTGTCAACTTATGCTTATGAGTGAATGAATTTTGGCTTACCGTAGTCAGTTATTTGCACCAGGACCCATACATACGCAATGACACACATTGTATAGCTCGTCTGAACGCCCCGTTCATCTTCATTTTTCTGATCTCATTCTCGTCCAGCTCCCTTCCGGACATTAGTGTATGTATACAAAGATTTTTTGACGATTTTTTGAAGCCTTTTTTCACTCTGGAAACACCGATTCACGCAGTTTCTTCGCATTCATCGCACTATTTTCCATCTTATCTTCCATTTTTCGCCATGATCTGGATTACCCAAAAGTATCGTGAATTGGGCCTTTAAGGTCATCGAGGGTGATTTCAACGCCAACGTTGGCTCCAGAAGAACGGCTGAAGAACTCCACAGCGGGACTCACGGAACTGACAGGGTGAAAGACTGTCCGAGTTTATCATGTCGGCCCACACCATCCATGGTAACTCGCTGTTCCAGAAGCCCTCTCAATGGAGAAGGTTATCTTCGACTCCTACTTGGTACTCTTCGACAGCCACGTCTCTCACATCGCAGGTGATTCGTTAACAACAATATGAACTCTGTCGATATACCTGCGTCTTCCCTCAAGTTTAGATGATGAGTTTGACTCTCACTGGTTTGACGCAACATTCTTCCGGACATGAGTGTATGTATACAGGGATCCAGAAAACCTAACTATTCCAAGATAAACCTCATTCACGTTACGAAAATAGGAGAACGTAACAGGCCGAGTCCAATGGCTTATACTACTCCTATAGAACATAGTTCTGAATTGAGAATTGGCAAAAAGAAAGAGAAGGGAAAGAAAATTGTAAGATTGTCTTAAGTGATGATTTGATGATTCTTCCTGCGAGCACACGCACTTCTGCATGCCTTTGAGCAGTAAGAGCGAGGTTGTAAGGTTGCAGTTTCGAATAGTTTCACATAAATATCGTAAAAAACCAAGATCTTACCTTGTGTTCCCGGGATCAATAATCGTCGGTGGTCCATGGGACTGCTCGTGGTCCTCCTCAATGTCGTTATAGCTCGATTGTTCAGCATTACTCGGAGCAAGGTCTTCTGGCTCGGATTCTTCAGTAATTGCTGGAGCTGTCTCAGGAACATACGGAATTTGCTGAGAACTACTAGAGGAGGAATGATCGGAGCCGTGTGAGGGAGAAACATTTATGTAGTGTGGACTGCCGTCGGAATCAGATGTCTTCAGTGTAGGTGTTGTAGAGGTGGATGGGATGATTATAGCTTCCGGTCGGAGTTCTGGCTGCGGAGATACTGTCGCCTCTCCTGCAGGTAGTTCGGGCAGCAATTCTGTGTGTGTTTGCTGATTAGGAGGGTGCACAGAAAGGCCAGGGATTTGCATAAATTGATGCGAGGATTTTTCTTCTATGTATGTGGAGGCGGGTGCCGGAGCCGGGATAGGAGGAGCCTGTATTTCTGTATGATCCTCTTCTAAATTTGAGTAGCTGCTCTCTCCTAAAGAGATATCTGGCTGCTGAACAAAGGCTTGTTGAGTTGTAGTTAACACAGCTACTGATGCCGGCGATTCTGATGACTTTGCTTCTGCTGGGAGTATCTGCGAGAACGAAGCAGCGGAAGCAGGTGTTTCCTCGTTCTTATCTGAATAGGAGTTTTCGGAAACTGAAGCTCCGCTACCGATGCTGTTTCCTCCTTCTGGAACATTAGAAGCAGCCGAATAACTAGAAGAGAAAGCCGTGGGTAACACTTGCGATGCAGTATGTGCATTAACAACAGGTCTTTCTTCTGATACGAGTAGTTGCGAAGGTGCCGATGATAAGTACGATTGTGTCGTTGTTGTATAGTGAACAGATGGTTGCAGTGGTGCGCTTGCACCAGCTTCCACTGCATAATTTCTACCTGACGATTTCTCCTGCAGTTGCGTTGGTGATGGCTCTACACTCGTAGCCGATGTATGTGGAGATGGTTCAGGAAGTGGCTGAGAGGAATGCACGTCCCTCTCTCCAGTAGCCACACTATTGGGTGAAGGAGCTGGCTGAAGTGGAGGCGCTGTTGACGACTCCGTCTGCGGTAGTAACAAAGTCGCAGGTCCTGATTCGGGCTGCGGTAGTGGCTCGACGGGAGCTGGCGCAACTGAAACAATCTTGCGTCTGAATTCCTATTCGTATATCCAAAATTTAAAGAATCATTGGACCAAAATAGTCGGATACTAGCGCTGCCAATTTGAGTGCCAACTCTATTCTATTACTGATTCATTGCCTACTATATTTGTACTTTTAATAAGCCATCTCGTCCAGTTTAAATAAATAAGAAAACCTTCAATCAAAGTAAGGAAATATGTGGCTTATATTTCTGCCGAGTTGGCGCCTCCGCGGGTGCGCTTCGTTGCGCGTGTCCGTCGAAACTTGGTCATGCCGCAGCCGTCGCACGCGGTGAGTTAGCCCGCAATATTTGACAGACGTCGCAGTTTTCAGTGGGGCATACGTTTTGCGCTTGCTCCACGGCAGTCAGTTCAAAGAGAAGATATCACAGACGAATGCAAATCATTCGCTCCACTGACACTTGGTGGTACTGTAATGTCATATCGAGGTCTCAGTGTGGTGCGCGGCGCGCGAAGTGGGCGGGGTGACCTACTTTCGACTGACGCTCGCAACGGACGTTCTCCTGCCTCGGCAATTTCTCAGCTTCTCTTTCGCGCGTAGGCTATGCTTTCCCGCTCAGACACACTTTCAACCGTCAGTCTAAAATCAGCGCTTATCTGCAAAAGTGTGTTTTTGGAATGAAGGCAGTGAGTTTCAATATTCCCCACTGTATTCCGCTTTTCTTTTTTCAGAACGGCGGTAAAATATAACGGGATGAAAAGGAACAGAGAAAAAGAAAAAAGCACGCTCTTACTCTCTTCCTTGTATGAGCTCACTCCTTGTTCGTTAGACGTGCTGATCTCTGGCGCTATCGGTTCTGGAGGAATATTTGGTGAAGGAGCGGGTGGAACGGTTTGAGGTGCCGATGTCGGCACAGTAACATGTACGGGTGGTGGCTCTTGAGAGTACTCATGCTTATCAGAGGAAGGCATCACTGCTGGAGCCACTTCGACGGGAGAGGATGGAGGTAATGGTTCAGATTGCGAACCACCTTCCATCACTGGAAAAGGAGCAGCTGCAGAGTCGGAGTGTGAAGTGTCTGCTTCAGGTGGTGTTGGGGCTGTAATTGCTAGTGATGCTACTGTTGATGGAGAAGAAGTGTGCAGTCGCTCTGCACATGGAGGACAATAGTTTTTGCCATGTCCCGTTACGTCTCCGTCTACGCTCTTTGATAGTGCATATGGTATCACTTGTGGACCAGAAGACGCGGAACTCGATGGATTTTGTGGCGACAGGGCTGCCGCTTCTCCAACAGAAGTCGACTCTGAAAAAGAATCATATTTGCAGTCTCCACTGACCACTCCAATGATACAAAGTAGCAAAACTCAAGCAAAACCGACATAGATACGGACTCCACAGTATTTTTTCCAAACTTTCATGGCTGTTTTTTCAGCCATTAACCTTTCTTCAGTTCTACTTATACCGCTACGGTCAGAGGTTGAGTAAGGCTAATGAAGGATAAACACTGAAAAACACATAAAACAAAGATAAAAAAAACTGTGTAGGTCTGTACACGCAAGGGCAGGAAATGGTCCCCCAAATGTTACAGTTTTCTGGAGCCCCTTTCTGTCATCAACATTATGCAGACTGACCGGTCGGATCGGCTAACGCATGCCTCCCTCCCTTCTGTGACAAAGTAGGATAACCCTGCTCTGCTCGAAACATTCTCCTTTTCATTAAAGTAGGTCCAGAATTTCGGTGGGAAAGCTTGTGAAATGGAATGCAATCGAAAAATCGGCCTAACAGCTTCGACCTTATCAAGGAGGGCATTTTAACACAAACAGAGCAATGCAACTTCCACTCCGATGTCTACGACTCTTGCGTTTGTGCTTATCAGCCTCAATCTGATGCTCTCAAGATTAGGTACTATTGATAACTCGTAGGCGACTGAATTGAGCTCACTCTTGAGCTCTTAGTCTGTAACATTTTTGTGTATGGTGGACCAACTCGATTTGTCACCCAAAGCTTCGAGTGGCACCTTTTACAGCTATCTACACCAAGTGGCCATTGCCTGTGATTTCCTTTCTTTATACGTATACGCCCTATGGTGAAGATTCACAGCAATTGGTAGCCGAATGAATTTTTTGCAAGTGATACTGTATCGAAGAAAACGTGCCTCCTTGGTAAGTCGCCAATCCTTGATGCAGGGGTTGTAGTCTAAAAGCTACAAACTAGCACCCGCCCTAGTATAAAAATAGATGTATTGAAAAAGGATGGAGTCAAGTGAGGTCACTGACACCGACTGACCGTCACTCCCATACGGAAGAGATGTCAGTGACCTCACTTGACTCTTCTTTTTTACTACGTTTGATCATACATATAAAATCGGACATAGGAGTACAATTGTGGGTCAGGAATAGAAAAATGATGCCCGCTCGGACCTTTTGACCTATTAATTACGATCTATGGAAATCTAAAAAAAGAAAAAGCGAAATCTCGTTCGTTTCTTATTTCTACTATGACAGTGTCGCTTCTTCTTAGTGTACATCGATGGAGAATTACTTCGTTGATTTATTTTCGCTTAACTTCAACAAGGTACATGCTCTAAACGGAACAGTGTTAGACTGCAATGATCCTCAATCTTTACTAAGGCACAATTCACGAAATTTTGGGATATTAGTTCTAGACCAATTGTGGAACAGATAGTCCAGAGTGATGCAAAAGTAGCGAACAAAACGCGAAAATTGGGGTATTCGGGAGATAGAAGGGTTCTGAAAAGTAGTGAAATCAGGAGTTGGACGAGAATCTGACGGCAGAAATTGCATGGAAAGGGTATTCGGAAGAGCTGTTCAAACGTGTATGCCTTTGCATACAGCTGGCTGCAGTACGCTGCCTGCGTGCAAGATGTGGGTCCCGGTGCGAATGGTGCAATCTCCGTAGCTTTTACAACTCTTAACAACTTGCCCGTCTTAGGTGTGTATGTTGGCTGAGCCGGCTTAAGGGCCTTTATTACGCCCTACATGCCGTTTTTTGGCCCGAAAGCGTCTCTTGAGCTATCCTTGGGGGTCATAGGTTAAACATGAAAGAAATCACACATGCTATTTTCATCGGATTTGAATCTCGATTCACGAGAATGCTCGAAATTGACACGGTGAAAAAAAGCTGTTCGTAGAAATCTTCTACAACCAGTGCCTCCAGTAAGTGGAACTTTATGATTCTTCGAGTATATTGAGAAGAAACTCAAACAAATTAGTCTTTCTTGAAAACAAGCTCGTGAGAATTATCTTTTTGCTGCAAGTAGATCCATGTCATCATCAGCATTCTAAATTGTTAGTAAAACAACCTGACAATGCAGGACACTTCTTGGGCTGAACATAAGTTATGTCGACCGTCATCGGGCTTCCTAGAGAAGACTCGGACGGATCAGTAGAAGAGCTTGCTTCATGGACGAACCCAGAATGACGTTCTTCTATTATTTGGTTAGTATGCAGGATGTTAGAAATTGGCAGGATGGCCAATGTCGTAAGTGCCGAAGCGCCTTCAAAACATTTCTATTAGGTTTTCTGCAAAATACGGCGGCTATCATGGGTTACGAACTGACAGGACTTATCCTACTTAAAAAACAAAGTCTACCAAACACGATGCAAGAATCGTTTCGAATGAAATCATTAATAATAAAAAGTGGCAGTGGTAAGAGCAACTTTTGAGTATTGGCAAAGTGTTAGGGCATACCACTATATCCACTGAGGACTTCGTCGACTTTGTTGTTATTCACAGACCACTCAGCTTCTACAGCTTTCACCTCTGAAGCCGATTAATTAAGATGTTAGACAATCAACTCTATACATATGTATTGCATGTAATCCACCTGTTGTATATCCACTTTGCTCGACAGAAGGCGCAGCTGCCTCGCCTTCTCCTTTCATGTCTGGCCCACTTTCGTTGCCCTGAAAAATTTGCAGAGGTTTTTTGCAGAATAAGGTTCCAAGAGAACGTGGTCGATCAACGGGATGGGATGGCGCCAAGTGCTAGCCTTCCGATTAAAAACCCTGATCGCTGCGTAAACAAGAGAACCTATGCAACTTATAAGCCTCACATGATGTCAGTCCCACCTCGAACATTATTCTGTTGGCTGAACCGATTAGCCATTCTGGCGGGTGGTGAGCTCAACCGTCGGGTATTTTGTACGAATAGAATATAGAGAAGCTTGGCGATAAGGTATTAATGGCAAACAAGAAAAAATTGCTAATATTCGCGAAAAAAATTCGGTTTGTCAGGGAAAAGAGACAAGAGAGAGAAGAGTCCACTCCTAAAGGCACAGTTCACGATAAAAATGATTCCTGAGATTAACTCATGGGATGAGTTCGAGGCCCCCTCGCATACCATAACCGGCGGTATTAGGTCGAAAAGTGGCCTAGTTAGGGCGTTATAAAAGCTCAAAGATTGTACCATTACATCCGTAGACAAGCTTCACCGGCTCATAGAGGCTGCACCACTTAAAAGGATCCCAAACAACTTGTCATGACCTATAGCGAAAGTGGAAGGCAATTTTAGAAAGTTCTGGCTCCTTTCAAGATAAACAAGATTTTCCTTGAAATCGACGACTTTTTCGCTTTCTCCATTACCGACGAATTTTTTCAACGTGTACTTTCGCTTTTCAACTATTAAGGGGTACCTCTGAATTATCGTGAATTGGGTCTCTTGAACAGTCAGGACGTTCCCTATTGAAGCTGGTGTAATGTTACTTTTGGTGTTTCACTTATAAAGGTGGAAGGGCAATCAGCTAGGCCTTGTCCGAGATTACAGGATCCGGGACACCCTTCTCGACTGCATTTACTTTCGAAAGCTGTGTTCGAGAATGTCAACCAATGCTGAGCATAAGAGACGACAGTTCTTGCAACTCTACAGATAACTATTGGGGACCTTAGAGCCCGTTCTGCGCTGTCTCACCTGGAAAGAAAGCGAAAGGGGTTTTTGAAAGAGGAAGAAGTAAGGATAGTGGAGGCATGTCCTCAAAGGATTCGAGAGCGAACCGGTTAATGCGACAAATCGGGCATCTTTTCAATCTCGTCATCCCGTCGCCCATCCGATCTAACAATAAGTAGAAGTCTAGTCATTAAAGCCGCCCTGTCAGAAAGATTTCGTTTCAACGCATCATGCATGCCAGCTACAGCATTTGTAAAAGGAGAGGAACTGCAGCATTTGAAGCCGTCTATCCCAACTAATTTACAAGAAAACAACTTCATAAGTCAAAAGGCAAAAGTTCTCTTAAATTTTACTGTCTTCTTGGCTACTTTTTGCAATGTAACGATCCTATTTACCCCAAAGCATTCGTAATAGCCAAGATTTCTTGAGCAGGCTCTAGAATTGGCAAGTAGGAGAGAATGAAGGCTGTGCATAGCAAAGCCCAACCCGAATCCTCCCGCGGCCCCTTGGACTTGAAGATTACATGAGCTAGTACTGCTTGCTAGAGCACTTTCTGCTCAGCAACGATCGTTCCACGCCAAGCTCCACTTATCTGAAGAACAGCAAGTTGGACCTACATTGACAATTAATGTGCCATGCTCTTCTCGTGTAAATCGTGAGAATCGCCTGTGAAGGAGACGAGAAGCACGATTCTTAAACGGACACAATCTACTTAATCTTTCTCACAACCCCAACCTAATCATCAGAAAGAAGAGTAGAGGTAGAAAAGGTAAATGCCGGGATCTGAGGCTATAACCACACTTTCTCTTCGTCCTACATTGTTCTGAAGCGCGAACTGGCAAATTGCACTCAGAACCTAGGGACACGGAGTGAACTGACATCTTGTTTCCTCTGACTAGGATTTCCCATTACTGTCTAACCTCATTGTTATAGGGGGCACTATGAGCTGATAAAAGCAAATTCTCAATATTTGCTAGGGACTAGTTCTCAAAAGTTGAAATGAATGAGATAGTTGTAAAAAGTCAATTGACTTAGTGAAAACGAGTGAGGTGAACGAACCTCATACGCATTACCAGCAGATTTGCCGAACTTGGCGACTTTGGCACGATTGAGCTCCTGCTTGATGATTTTTTCTGCAATCTTGTTCGCCTCTTCATTATCAAGGTCACTTCTTTTCGATTTCTGTGTGACATCTGAAAGATAGACTGCGAAAAATGTGATATGCATTGGCATAGCCAAATATGGTAAGCCCAAGAAGAGCGAGGGAAAGGGTAAATGAGGAGCACACAGAGCATCAATTTGATGCAAAGCGTTTCACGAATTTAGTGGAACCACTCCAAATAAACAGATGTATACGGTTAAAAACGGACATCCGATCGTATGGAGAAGAAAAAAACCTATTACTAAATTGAACTGCCTAAAGTGAATCTCACTGACCCTTTGTGGTCGGTATTGCGTAGGGTTTTCCACCATTTGCACCTCCGTAGAATTGCTTGATCACCTGTAATATTTTTAAGTTGATTAGCCCTTACACTGAGCAATTCCAGCTATCATACCTCCTTCGACTGTCCCAAATTCATAATGATGAATTTATGTTTGGAGTGGGTTGGCAGGTGTTCTACCCATTCTGGAGCCTTCCGGATATTGCTTTCTTCTTGACCGGGTTTTGCTTGAGGATGAGAAGTCTTATCCGGTAGAGATGTCAAATGCACACCTGGGTGGCGTTTCTGCAGTAGATTTGCACTGGAGAACCTAAGAGAGGAAATAGGAGCTTCCCAAGACTGTTGTTTTTGTCTTTGTGAAAGGGTGGGAACTATAGCCATCATACGCAGAAACTTGCTCCAGTCACTTTTTAAAAAGGGATCGAAAATCAACAAGAGATAAATTGATTACAGCACTGCGGCCGCCCCTACGAGGTCCTTAAAAGGGAAAAGCGAACTTCTACGGAAGATTCCGGCTTGGGAACCAATGATGTTAAAAATCAGAGTAGCATGAATTGCTTGTTAGATCGTTGAAAGACTTACGCCGAAGGCACATTTGGCATATCGTGTGCAGTGAGACGCTTCAACAAAGCGTCTGGGGATCTGGGCCGGAAGAAAACCGGTCTAGCCGAGTGAACCTTCCCGATATGGAAAGGAGATGCTCCAGATGGCTCCGCAACTCGATTGTGCACGGCGGCATGTAAAGGTGCAAGAGCAACTCGATCAGAGTCGATCGCAATCGCTTCGACGAAAATAATAGTTAACAGTAGAATACTTATCGTCATTTTGTTGATCACATAAAATAAGGGCTGTTTATAGTGAATAAGCGGGACAGTAAGGTGATTGCAGTGGGATGGTGCCGCTCAAAAGAACTCTGTTTCGCCGAAAGGGCGGCGCCTGAATACTTAGCCATTACCAGTCGGACGAGAAACGCTTAAGCTGCGCAGCATTCTAACCAAGCCCGGAAACCAACAGCTAAGGAGAACCAGATAAAGACAGATCGAAGAAAAATTGTACCTCACATGTTGATGTTCACACCAACATGGGGAGAAAACCCACGTCATCACACCTAGCCTACGATAGAATTTCGCTTATTCTGGGAGGAGGCGGTCGAGACGCTTGCACTTGCACAACACGGTACCATCGGTGATGATCTTCAAGAACGCGTTCTAAATTCCTTGTGAACTCTATACCGTTACGAGCCTTCTATATTCACAATTCTACGAATTGCCTGACCTTATTGAAATTCCCCAGTATCATATTTGACGACTAATACAGTCGATCTTCTCATGTGACAGTCAAAGCAGGGATCGTGTGGATTGAACTTCGTACTGAGCCCTCACCGTATGCAGGAAGAAAAAACTCAATCGTGATTGTCTAAAGGTATTCATCTCAGTGTTGACGTTTTTTCTAGAGGGACTTTTTCAGTTCTCGGACGATATGTGCAGTTGTTTGGCTTATTGTTTTATGTGTTGCAATTACGGATCCTGCGCTTTTGTTTCAGAGCCGATCAGGAATTTAAAATGTAAGCAACATCTCCTGTGGAGTACAAATATAGGACTGGCAACGCTGAAGGAATACTTCTTGCAACCACTCTCGGAGCGGAATTATATCTCGTACTCACAGAAAAGGGCTACAATGTCGATATCGCCGTCTCTGCTGAAAAAGCTGGTGAGTCCTAAATTCAGATAAGGGGGATTTGTAACTTGTTGGCAACATTATTCAAGCTACCTCAATGCACAACGTTTTGAGGAACCCTCCTCTTCTCCCCACTCTCTTTCTCCCTGAGTCCTATGGAGATTTTATCCACGACTCGGAGAGAAAAACTTTTCGGCTTTCTGTTCACCCTCAGTCTTATGAGATTTGGTTTCTGTTCTCTAGAAACGGAAGACATAGATGTGTTGCTACTCATTAATCCAGCATAATGCATGAGTACATCAGAAAATGTGCCCAATTCCAGCTTATCCAGCGCCTACGAAGGGAGCATAATGTTACTTCACGGAGAGACTTACAAATTTCCCATTAGAACATGCCTCTGCAACTAACATAGACAGTTTAGAGATTTTGTCATTTCATGAGGTTCGATGATTCGAAAAGGAAACATGATCCACACGATCGTTATGCTCTTTGAGCCGACTTCTTATGAATCTCATGAACTTAATGAAAAATCTCCGACTGAGCGTGGGACAGCCCTGTTAACAGTGTTCCATGAAAGCAGTTTGTTGCTGCGTCCATCGTGTTGTGGACGGATGTTCGCCAGCAATGTGAATCAGAGTAATGACGGCTATAGCGAAAACGAGTCCTCCAAACTGACCAACCAGTTAAGGGCGCAGACTATGCTTAGTCGAGAGCATTGGTTTAGCTATCCAATGATGTGGTTATCTCTGATGTTAGCTGTTAGCGATCAGAACCGCATCGACTCTCTCGACAACAAAAGTGCTATGACGAAGATAAATCACATCAGCCTAGTCTGTCAGCCGTCTTGATCACATCAGAGTCCAAAGAAATTGTTGAGATTTGGGGCAACGCAACCAACATCAGCAAGGTTTTCTTTTGTTTGGAAAACAACCCCTGTGAGGGAAAGCATTCCTACCATTTGCGGTACCGTTTTTCCTGAATGCGACCGCAAACTATGCATACATTAATGGTGTAACCCTCGGCGCGATGCAGCCTACCCTCCGTACAAATTACGCGAAAATCGCCGCTCATTTGTCATTCTTTACGAGTCGGTAAGACCACTTTTCCAAATCCTTTTCCTTTTCCACGGCTGAACAAGTTGCGGGAGTAGCGGTCGTAACAGAACGTTCAACCTGTTCCTTAATGACTGTTATATTCGCCCTAATTGCTAGAAGAGGTATTGAAGAAACCCAAATTTGCACTTGCCCGTTTTTGTAGCGAACACGAATCGCTCACGGATCATATTTCTGTAGAGGCATATTATGTCAGCTGTCGTGCCGTTTATCATAGATTTGTTTGAGCCGAGACCAGTACGTCTCCATTGCTTAATGCCAAAAAGGATGGAGCAGAGCCAGATTATCTCTCCCTGTCGCAACGCTTCGTGTGTCCTCAAAGGCTCCTCACGCTGCGCGCTTTTCAGCTACGAAGGTGGATTGATCATCATGCTGACTTCTCGACTAAGGTCCACGTAGCTAGAGCGTTCAGAGGAGTTCGTTTAGTTTAGCACAGAGGAGTGTTTTTTTTATTTTTTCGAAATGTCGTTCTTCACGGTTTATCACTTATCAAATCCCGATCCCATCTCTTGATAATACCACTGGCATCGTCTTCACTACATTATTTCGGGCCAAACCTCCCATGAGCGTTGTCAAGTTCGAGCAGCATACTTTTTTGCTCAATATACGTTGTTACAAGACGATGTCATCTGCAAAACAGACATGGCGTATGCGCCAACCATTGACCTTCACCTTATATATCCCCATAACGAATGATGCATGACGTTCTGAGGTTCACTGAAAATTTGGGCTGGCTATTGTATGACCCTCTATACGGTGCCAGACGAAATGAAAAGTAGCAGCATCACGGAGAAGACCGAGCGCTGTGCAATTTTTCATCAACGTGACGGATTTTGTAGGGAACACTGAACTGGGTGACATACCCATACCGCTCAAAATGGTGGGTAGTTAGTCAGACACGGCTGTTGAAGGGAGCAAGTGAAAGTACGAATCCTATACGACCTTTTTCACTACCTTTCGAGATGCAGAAACTGCTCTGTAGGACATGGAAGAATGCCATTTTGGTCTTGTAACTGGCGAAGCTCAGGTGAGCATAATTAATGTTCTTCCCAGTCTTGGCAGCTTCGTTCTGGACTGCTGCTCTTCTCTCTGTTGACTTCGTCAATCGTTTCTCAACATAGCCAGTTCATACATTAGTTGGTGATTGCCTCTGGCTCGCGCAATTCCACATCAACATGAGAGTTTTCGGAGCGAGACGTCTCTGTAACACACACGCAAACCGATCATAAGACACCATACGTAAGCTCCCCCATGCTTATAAATGCACATAAGTTCGCCCAGACACATACACCAATATAGACGATAGCGCACTCACAGACACACACTCACTATACATTGAACCGACGTATTAAAGACGCTCAAACATACAGGCCCACAAGGACGCATACGCCCAAGTCGGGTCTTTGACGGCTGATATTAGATCTCCAATTTCATACTTGGGAACGTTCTTTTCTCAGCATCTTGCTGTTTTCCTCCCGCCTTTTAACTTGGTTAGGTGTCCGAAAAGCAGAAAAAGATGCCACTATAGTTCTCCGATCAGAAGATAGCAGGGACAATGATCTTGAAGCGATTAGCGAACCTGTTTTGCAGAGTCGATTTAAAAAATTGGTTTCGTTACGCTTTTTGAAGACTAATGCTTTGCTTTCGCCGACGTCGGACTTTCTGGTCATGAGTTCGTTTGCTAAAAGGCGCCTTCAAGCCCGGTCTTCGGTATATGTTAACGCTGCAGGAGACAACTCGAGAAGACTCCTTCCGTGATTTCAATGCGCAAGAAGGTAATGCCGGCTCGGACCCCGTCGATCTGGCTTTTTAATGCAGTTGAAAAAATCTTCGGCACTTTACTTTCCACGATTTTTCACGAATATATCTCAAGGGATTGAGAGTGACAATAAGGCTTGAGCATTTTGGCTTGCGTGTAAAGGCGTATTACATGCCATGTATCGTAACTGTTTGAGAAATTCCAAGAAGTATGGTTTGGTTGTATATACTGTAGCATCTTCAATATTTTTAAAATTAAGGACGAAGATTGGTTGAGTTCTTTTGGAGAGGAATTGTGTCATCATAGTTCCGCCCACCGAATTGTACTACGAATCTGGTAATGGAATTCGTTTTTGGGAACCATGGCAGAACAACCTAAGAAGTGCAGGAACAGCCCAAGATTTCACAAATATCTGCGATTTTGACTGCTTCTCAAGCTGTGTGAAGATGTCGTAATCCACCTTACTGCAGCAAAGACCAATTCCTCATGAGCTAGGGACAACACTTCTTCCAAGAAGTCAGTAAGGGTGTACACTACGAAAAGGTGTAGGCTATACATAGATATTCCGTATGAAACTAAAACGGTTTAAGCTCAAGTCATAAGGAGAAACGAAGCAAGCACATACGCTACAGTTCGAACTTTCACGTGATTCTTCAACGACACCTACTAGGCCATCTACGCGCATAACCGAGATACTCGGCTTGTTAATCCTCTCGGCGCAGTAACATATCACACAGAGGAAATGCCCCTGTAACTTTGTTCCCAGGACCGCTTCACATATTCAGAGGCTTCCGACTCTGTGACATTAAGTTTAGTTCAACTGCTTCGTTCGCCTTCGATTTGCTTTCATACACCCTTTGCCGAACGTTTTTTGGAGATTTCCATACCATAGTCGCCCCAATTTCTTGTTATAGCAAAGGATACCAGGTCATAGGGATCATTCAAGATGAGATTTACGCAGCCGTATTTGTTTTATAACGCTGATCTCATACCCATTGTTCAAGTTTGCGGAACCATCCGACATACGATTCACCAAAGCATTTCCTCCGTTCAATAAGGGATTTCCTAGAACAAACAAGCACGTTGAGTCACGAAGTTTAACGTGAGTCGATGGCTAGAACGTGGTAATTAGTAGGCTCATACAAAAGTCATAAAGATCTGTATTCTTTATGTTTAGCTTGTTTTGCTTTTCCGGTTTACTAATTTCCACTTCCCATTCCCTAAAGGAAAACTATAAACGGTTTCCAGCAGAAGCTGTGCGTTGGCCTTTTCTGAA